CACAAGAATATCAAGTCATCAATGAACCTTCTGTATAATTTTATCTCTGGTCTAAGGGAATGGAAGATGCATTCCTCCTTCCATTTGGCCATATATATATATTGGCCACACTGGGCGCAAATTTTGCTCCCATAGCGACTCTGTTATGATCCGCCAGGCGGAGCCTTCCAGCTGCCAACTGACAGACCAATCCAGAGCGTGGGGTCTAAGCCCGGGCTGTGCCTTCACCAGGGCCCCTGATGGTGGGGATGGACTTGAAACAGTCCCGGCCAGGTCACGACCTCTGAGCGGGCCCACCAGCGGCTGAGGAGGCCTCCGGGGATGTGTGTAGGTACCGGGAGAGCCAGATATGAAGAGGATGGCGGCCCCAGCAGGGTGGTACGGATAGTGGTCCCGTGGGGGTAAGCGGGGTACCGAAATCGGCGGGCAAGGAGTAGTCGGGTCACATGCAGGGTCGGCCAGGTAAATCAGTCCGTAGAATAGTCAGGATAATCCGAGTCAAAACACAGGAGCGGGCAGAATAGTCAGGAGAAGCCGGGTCAATCACAGGAGCGGGTAGAATAGTCAGGGCAAGCCTGGTCAATCACAGGGGCAGGCAGCGTAGTCAGGGTCAAAAACAGGGTCACAAAACGGGTGCAGGAACTCAGGATCACAGGAAGACCTTGCGGCAATTGGTGACAGTGCAGGGCATCTTTAAATAGTGTGCGCCCTGCACTGTCATTGGCTGGCTAGGACGTGCCCCCGGCTGTCATTGGACGCCTGAGGCGCGCCCGCGGCTCTCTACTGCGCATGCGCGGCTCCCTGTCAGCCGCGGCTCGCCGGGACCTAGTGCCCGTGTCCCGGCGCGATCCGCCGCCAGTGCGCATGCGCGGGGGGCGGCGTCGTGACACAGGACTCCGGAGCCGCGATCCCTGACATTGCCCCCCCCAATGGGCACCCTCCGGGAGCCCCACTGATCTCTCCACCGCGGGTCGACCACGAAAAAACTCCCGGATGAGCCTGGGTGCGTGAATGTTCTGGGCGGGTTCCCATGAGTTCTCCTCAGGGCCATAACCCTTCCATTTTATCAGGAACTGTGTCTGGCCCCCCCTCTTTCGGCAACTGAGGATAGTCTCCACCTCGTATTCCTCCTGGTCATCTATGGTGACTGCCTCGGGAGGGTCTGGATTCACGGTCGGGAAGGAATCCGGTCTGGATGGCTTCAGGAGAGATACATGGAACACAGGATGTATCTTGAAGGTCCGCGGAAGCTCAAGTTCGTAGGCCACCTTGTTGACTACACGCTTTACCGGAAATGGGCCAATGTACTTGGGTCCCAGCTTCCTTGAAGGACACAGCATCTTCAAGTTGGTCGTTGCCAGCCACACCTGATCCCCTGGTTGAAGCAGTAATTCTCCTCTTCTTTTCCTGTCGAACGTCCTCTTACTGTCCTCTTGGGCTTTAGCGATGGCTTCCTGAATTGTTTTTGTTATTGACAGAAAAGAAGTTCAAGACGTCTTGAGACGCCGGTACCGGATTTTCAGGCATCAGATCAGGGAGAAATGTGGGATGATACCCGTAATTGGAGAAGAACGGGGATTGCCCCGTCGCTGAGTGACTTGAGTTGTTGTACGAGAATTCTGCGGACGGCAACAACGTCAGCCAGTCATCCTGAAGGTAGGACGTGTAACATCGTAAGTATTGCTCCAGCGTTTGGTTGGTCCTCTCGGTTTGGCCGTTAGTCTGTGGATGGTAGGCGGATGAAAGCGACAGCTTGATTCCCAGTGCCTTACACAAGGCGTTCCAGAACCTGGAGGTGAATTGGACTCCCCGATCTGACACTATATCTTCGGGAACCCCATGAAGCCTCACTACTTCCTTAATGAAGATTCGTGCCGTTTCTGGTGCTGATGGGGTCTTCTCCAGGGGTATAAAATGTGCCATCTTTGAGAAGCGGCTGTCATTGGATGCCTGAGGCGCGCCCAGCGGCTCTCTACTGCGCATGCGCGGCCCTGTCAGCCGCGGCTCGCCGGGACCTAGTGCCCGTGTCCCGGGGCGATCCGCCGCCAGTGCGCATGCGCGGGGGACGGCGTCGTGACACAGGACTCCGGAGCCGCGATCCCTGACAGACTCCTTCCTTCTGTAAATAATATTTCTGGTTATACCAAAATAGTTATGCATCAAACAAAAGACCAAACTTTTTATATTAATTTTTTTTGTGTGTCTGAGATAACCCACTATTTTTATTCAATATCCATTTTTAACTGTTTCCATTGCCCCATCATGGTTAATATTGGTGTTAAAAGAGGCAACATCAACTGTCACCGATTGTGTCATTAGAGACCTCTACCAATTTGTAAAAGTTGCAGTATGTGCTTAGTATCCTTCAAATATGCCCGTGTCCCATGCACCATAGGTTGTAAAAAAGAAATCAATGTATTTCTCCTAAACATGTGAATAGAGAATCTATCCCATTAACAATGGGTCTTCCTAGTGGATTCTGACTTTGTGTATTTTAGGAATACAGTACATTACTGGCATCCTACATACTGATGGTATAAGATATCTTTCCACTTGCTTATTTAATACTCCTTTCTTAATCCCATAATGAATTACTTTTTTTCTCCAGTTCTTTATTATATTGTCTGGTGGGGATTACTCTGCAAAACCTCATAAGTGTTACTATCACTCAATAACCTTTCCATTTCATTGGTGTATTGCTCCTTATTAAGAATGACAATCCTTCCCCTTGCCAGCTGGACGGATCACCAGATTTTTCTTCAATCTAGGGACTTGATGCCCTTTCTAATGGCCCCCTCCTCATATACTTTTTTTTAATGGGTAATTTAGCTAAATCCTCAATTACCAACTTCCTAAACATATCTGTATACCTATTCTCATTAATGTTAGGACAAAAAGTAGAATGGTTCTTCAAATTAGAGTGTGTCTCTTCATTAACTACGTTAATCGCATTACTGTGCATAAAATTACTTAATACTCAAATTTCTAACTAACTTTTGTATACCTATATATGTTTCAAACTTATTTAATCCTTTTATAGGAGCATATTTCAAACCCTTATCTAATACCTCCAGTTTCCCTTTTAGAAGAGGTATACTACGTAGGTTAAAAATCCCTTTTCCTACTACTCTCTCCTTCTTTTTCTGCTGTTGTTGGACTCTCCTCCCTGCCCTTCGGCCTCTCTTTTTTCCTCTTTCCTGTATCGTACTGTTGTGTTGGGGCCCCCTCTTGGACCTAAAAAAGGTTTTTGGTGAGTAATAATATTTCCTAATCAACCCTATGTTGTAACCAGGCATACCTGTTATTGGTCGGTACATCATTACACATATATGGGGGTTTCCTAAATCTCGTTATCTGGGGTTTGCGACCATTGTATTTTGTTGGTGACCATATTGATATGGATTCCTCTGTTGGTGATGAAATTGCTCATTGCTATAATTGTTGTACTGCGGTCTGCCTCCATTGTGAGGTTGCCCATTTCCATAAATATTATACTGTGATCCACTGTTTTTAACGGTCCCTGACCTATATTATCTTCACTTCTCTGTGTGTTATGCATCGGACCACTATGGGGTTCTCTTCTTGGTGTATAATTGTACCCCTTATTTACCACACTAAATGTTTGTTGAACAAGGGTTCTAAGCAAACCATTTTTTTCTTTTGGGGTACCTACATGCCTTCCTCTATCTGGCGAGGTATTAGTTGAGCCAACCGCATTCTCCAGGGGCAAATTTTACCACCTAAAGTCCTGCTTGGCCTGATAATCCCCCACATCTCTCTGATATTTCTTTTACTTTTTGATTTTATTATCTTGGTCTTATTTTCTCCAAATGTTTGTTCAACTCATTGGTCAATTTATTAAAATCCGCATGATTTTTAAAAGGATCTATTTTCTCTTTATATTCCTTAATGATCACTTCAATTTTGTGCACGTTCCTTTGTTTTCTCTTAGTTAAAAATTCTAATACCTCCTTTCCTTTTGCGTTAAAAAATGAATACCATTCTTCTACATCTTCCTCCTCTATCAGCCCATCATTGATGGGAACATTCTATCTCAATTTTCTAGGGATAATCCCATCCTTAATATACTGCTCCGAGGTGACCAAATCCCACCATAGATTAATTTTTTTATCCATTATGTGCTTTAACCTTTTTATCCAAAAAAATCTCTTCCAAATTAATCTCCTTGTGCTCCAAAAATTCCCAAACTCTATCCATTACTGCTACAAGTGAGTATTGTGAGTGAGAATAATACACAACTGTGATGAACAATCTCTCCCGAGCGGTGTGAAACTATGAGCTACAATCCTGAAAGTGACTTGCACTACCACAAACTCATAACATGTGCACAAATACAAATTATATACATACAGTGCCGCGCTTCCTACATCACATATTAATAAAACCAAAAAATGTGTAAACATAAATCGATGTGAAATGGTGACTACAAATCATGAAACACAAAAGTCTCTAAGTAGTGTTTAACCTCCCTAGCGGTCTGATTATGTCAGTATTTCTGTGCTCAAAGCGGTACATTTTTTTTGCATGGAAATATGTAGTTTTTTTTATTGTAGGACTGTAATTTTTAGGAATAACTCACTGAAATCTGTCCAAACAAGAGTCTAGTAAACATCCCGGGTATGTTAAAATTTTAAACACACGAAATTATAATTTAATAAATAATCATAAAAAATAATATAATAATTTTAATTCAATAATATAATCAAACCAAAAACACTGAAATTTTAAATATAGCGGCAAGTTCGCACATCACTGAGCAAAGTCTCAAAATCGTTTTCAGTGTCTGATGACGAATTTCCCCACGAATCATCACTCAATTCTGCAAGTAGTTCTAATTTACTATTGTTGTTCTCTAGCTGGTGTAAAACTGCTTTTGACCTAAAGGGACGCTTTTTGGATGCCATGGGGATTTCTCAGTTTCAAGGCAGAAAGAACAGTAAAAATGCAGGCAGGGCACAGGACAAAGCACTAGGGACAAAATGTATGTGAAATGGTTTGATACAGTAATGTTTTACTATGTGATTTTAGTATACCATATTTTTCGCTCCATAAGTAGCACCTGACCATAAGACGCACCTAGGTTTTAGCGGCTGAAAACAGGAAAAAAAATATTCTGAACTAATGGACTGCAGACATAGTACAGGAGATGACCAGAGACTGCGGACACAGTACAGGAGATGACCAGAGACTGCGGACACAGTACAGGAGATGACTGCTGACCTTTGGGGAGGGGGGGGAGCGGGTACCTGAATTTGACAGGTACCCGCTCTTACTTCCGTGGAGTTGTTCTGTGACCTTACCTGTTCCTCCATCCAGCCGCACGCTGTCTTCCCGGCTTCTGTAGTGTGGGCGCTGGGCTTGACAGCCGGGTGCCCAGTGCGCATGAGCGAGAAGCGCTGCGCTTTGTGACTGGTCCGGCGGCTTCTGGGACCTGTCATGTGTCCCAGGTGCCACCTTACCATTCACAAAGAGCACCGCTTCTTGCGCATGCGCACTTGGCACCCGGCTGTCAAGCCCAGCGCCCACACTACAGAAGCCGGGAAGACAGCGCGCCGCAGGAACAGGTAAGGTCCCGCTACAGAGCTGAGCGGCCGGCCCAGTATTCTGACACGGCGGCGGTGGAAATACCGGACCGGCTGCTCCATATTCGTTCCATAAGACGCACTCACATTTTCCCCCTTTTTTTGGGGGAAAAAAGTGCATCTTATAGAACGAAAAATACGGTATATAGTGAATGTCGCTTTGTCATTTTTACATTTCCCACCAGTTCTGTTCCCGTACATCCTGACGTTGCAGGGAACGGAACCCAGAAGACAGATGGCGGCATCAACCGGAGGAAATTGCCGGGGACGCTGCAGGGGGGACATGGCAGGAGCGCAGGACAAGGTAAGTGCAGAAGGGATCCCGGAGCAGCACTGCAGGGTATTCCTGAGTGTAGCTCGGGGTTACCGCTTGTGGTACTGAAACTCTACCCCGAGCTACACTCGGGAATACCTCCAGGGAGGTTAATGATTTGTAGTCACTATTTCACATTGATTTATGTATACACATTTTTTTAGTTTTTTTAATATGTGATGTAGGAAGCTTAGCACTGTATGTACAGTCAGGTCCATAAATATTGGGACATCGACACAATGATGACTTGCTTCACTGATAGTGACAGCTCTTTGGATCTCATCTTGAGAGTTGACAGCAACAGATTCCAAATGCAAATAGCACACTTGAAATGAACTCTGGACCTTTTATCTGCTCATTGTAATTGGGATAATGAGGGAATAACACACACCTGGCCATGGAACAGCTGAGAAGCCAATTGCCCCATTACTTTTGGTCCCTTAACAAGTGGGAGGCACATATGCAAACTGTTGTAATTCCTTCACCGTTCACCTGATTTGGATGTAAATACCCTCAAATTAAAGCTGACAGTCTGCAGTTAAAGCACATCTTGTTCATTTCAAATCCATTGTGGTGGTGTATAGAGCCAAATGTTAGAATTGTGTCGATGTTCCAATATTTATGGACCTGACTGTATATATTGTATTAACCCTACTGCATTAGTAGCTTGCAGGGTGAGGGTCGGGATGGACTGAAAAGGATTTTAACTAAAAGAAGAGGAATCTGCACAAAGGATGCATCCTACTGACTAATCTACAAGGGTTGAACAAAAATATGGAAACACTACATAATTTACAGGTGTGAAATTGATGGAAATTTCATGTTGAAAGAGGAAGTGATGTAACTTTTTTACTTCCACTGTGTGATGAGACACCTAACTAACCTGTGGGAAGCCTCACTTTTGTCATTTACTGCATGCGCTGCTAGTAACACGGAGTCGTATCAGAGCTTACTGAGTTTCAGAGAGGGTAAATTCTTGATGCCCGCTTAGCTGGTGCCACTGTTGCAAATTTATTTGTGGTGTCGTGAGGTATAGTATCATAGGTTATGACAGCTGTAACAGACCAAACCAGGACAGGGTTTTTGGAGGGGACTAGGGGCTAGCCTTCTACCCACTGACTATGGCCCATGGAGAGAGCAAATCATTCTCTAATGAAGGACAGGAACGCGATGAACGTTGAGAGTGAGGCTTGGATAATTTCTCTGAATAAATACAGCTTCCCTTCTGGAGTGGATGGAAAGGTGTAATATTAATCTTATACAGGTTAGTGGTCAGAGGAAATAAGGGGGCCCTCCTACAGACTGGGTTGGAAAATCTCCTCCACTTGAGACAGAAATATTTATCAACAATCTACCTCAAGAAATCTACGCTGATAAATTAATTTCACTTTTTCAGACTGTTGGAATGTTGTATGAGTTTTTTCTTATGATGGACAGATTATACAAGTGAAAGCAAACACCTGAAAGACAGCATGTGTAATGTACTTTGTGTATTCAGTGGTGTGGGCTTGTTGCTGGGCTGTCTGAGGTGGGCTCCTGGCTCGTCTGGGTGCTTGGCTGTGTCTTCGCTTACTGTTAATTAGAACACTGTTACATATTAGTTGCTAGCTCTTGCTTAGCTTTCTGTTAATTAGATCAATGTTGGCTATACTGTTTGCACTGTTTAGGATAATGTGATCAAGCTCTTACCTAATCAGTGTGGGATGTTTATCCCAATGTGTAATATTTGTTTACACATACACAAGCAATACTACAGACCAGCATGAGAGAAGGTGACAAGGAAGCTAGAGAGCAAGAGGTTCTCCCATTTAAATATGTGATGTTTCATTGGCTGTATAATTTAGCCAAGGATCCCAGACCTTCGGGAAATCTCCTGTTTTTTGTTATTTAGTAAAGCTTTGTCATTGGCCACTGATTGTCATTGATCATTATAAAGTTCACTTCTGAAATTAACCAGTTCCATACTTCAGTACAGACAACCAGAACTAAGACCAGACAGCCAGGCCTAAAACTAGTTGAGGAAGTCAGCCTGCAGTACAATTTGTTCTGCCTTTATGATGGACTCCTTTATCAGTCTTGGGGTGACTAATTATTCTCCAGAAGTGGGGAAAATTGTGAATGAAAGTGAACCCCAAGTTTATAGCTGAGGCTATTTTTTAAGGCAGGCTAACTTTATATTTATACATAGACATTTGTTTTTCATATATTTCTGGTTTTTTTCATACTATCTTTACTTTTTATTGAGGTTTTACTATTTAATTTGTGGCCCTCCAGCTGTCGTAGAACTACAAGTCCCATGTGGCATTGCAAAACTGACAGTTACAAGCATGACTCCCAAAGGCAGAGGCATGATGGGACTTGTAGTTCACCAACAGCTGGAGGGCCACAGTTGCCCACCCCCCTGGCTTAGACTATACTTAACCATGTTCTTTTATGCCATGCCCAATATCTGCTTTTTTTTCTTTTTCAGGTTGTCCCTCTTTGTCAGTCTCTGTTAGGAGCAATGATTACATTGACAAATATATGCAAATTTTAGAAAGTACTCATGCTGTCATCGTTCAGTAATAGATTTTAAGCATTAACACTATTATCTTGTCTTATTGCAATTTAGATGTGTAGACATTTGTGGAAGGTAAAGTGTTTGTTGATGTGAGATTGAGTGACTGGGCATTGGTAACTGGAGGGGCTCAGGGAGATTTACTGTAAGGTAGATGTTTCCTATTCAGGAGTTTATTATCGCCTCTTTTTTACTACATGCATAACTATATTAGCGCTGGATACATTTTGTACAAATGTATAGTTAACAACATCCTACATCCAGTAAAATTGTTGTTTACTTATGGGTAACTGTAAAGTTACCGCCATCTGCTGGTTACAAAAGAAATATACCCGTTAAAGTACACAGCACAGTTCTAAGTATACAGTGTAAAAGTCAATCTATGTTTATCTTACGTTTTCTTTATTCAATGTCAGCACTAATGATGAGGAGTTAAACATACACTATATTACCAAACTTATTGGGACACTCCTCCAAATCATTGGATTCAGGTGTTCCAATCACCTCCATGGTCATAGGTGTATAAAATCAAGCACCTAGGCATGCAATAGAGTGAAAGCAGACCCAAACTGTCTCTCAAGGAATACTTCTCTGCCAATGTGAATGGCTGTTCTAGACTCCAAAGGAGGATGATTAACCCACAGAAAGAAAAAAAATTCCCACATAGTGAACTAAATTTTTATGAAGTCATTTATTAAAACAATTATTTATACTCACAAGTAACAAGTGAATAAAAGCAAGCATTGAGACATAAATATGGTCCAGTCCCAAGTAAAATAAAGGCACTTTATACACAGGAATTAACAGCCGGCTCGCTCTGTGTGTACAGGGACTCCTAAACACTGCATTCCACCCTTATCGTTGCTCCATCTAAAGTGTTTTGTCACTATGGAGACTTCCTAAGAGGATTCTGTTGCAGTGCACTTATCACAAGGTGGAAAGTTTTTGGTTGCATGATATCTGTTTACAGAAGAGAGCAATACAAGACTGAAGTGGACACTTTGGGGTAGATTCACTAAAATTGACCGTACTGTAGATCACCTTCCACCGAGCGAATACACTAAGCTAAGGGTCGGGAGTTAATGGTATAAGGGGCAACCTTTATATCAGTGTGTCCCCCCTTGCCTTACCTTATTCACTCCCCCTATATCAGATTCTCCCCCCCCATTAGACATCACTGAGCACCCGGCCCACCATACTCCCCAGCCCCCCCCCCCCCCCCCCCAAACATCTGGTTGAGCCCAGCAGCTTCGAAACTGAACTTGAATGGCTCCGAAACGGGCCATTTTTTTTTACAGGTTTTACAGTTTGTAAATTGCCCAAAATTTACAGATGGTTGGCTACCCTGCTGAGGGAAAATGGATATCGTAAAAGCAAATTTTGGCTGAAGTCATCTGCAAGAGACCTCTGCCTCCCTCACAGTTTCAAAATCTACACGTAATTCATAAAATCAGCCAGGACCAAGATATGGTAATATTGAGCAAATAAAATATTGAGCAAATCAAGGTCACACATGACCAGGCTATTGTATACAGAAGACATGATAGCTGCCCCCACCTCTTAGTTGACAGACCTATCTGAAAGATTCCATGTTTAGTATCTTTTGGAATGGGAATTCAGTGCTGGACAATAATCTACCAGTTCCCAGAATGGAAACTGCACATAAGTCGAAGATATATCTGTATAAAACTGTTTGTAAAGAGGGGTCCTGGTACAGTTGTAAACTTGTGACATCTCATCAGCCACTCCTCTGCCTCTTGATCAGATCATTTCTGGCAACACCAAGAAAATATATTATTTTTGGCAACAAAGTATATAATAATATGGGTCACAGCAATAGCAAAACTACGTGCGACATATTGCAAAAAGACAGAAGGTAAGGAAGTGACAGGCATTACACAACAGTAATATATACATGTAAATATGGAGAAGGGACATCCAACCAACAACACAAAAAGGATAATTGTTGCAGATGGTGAGTGAGGAACACTGCTTCCTGTTAAAAAAAAAAACTTTCTTAACTTTTTTGTAAAGACTAAGAAAAAGTAGGAAATTCTGACTAGAAAAGAGAAAATAAAAGAGCCAGAAGTGGATGGAGAGGATAGAGAAAAGGCAAAGTAAAAAAAAAGGGGGGAAAAGAATGGAAGGAAAGGGGGGTAGGGTTCTTCCAAGACTTGAAGTGCATCCAGTTCCTCTAGTAAGCTGAACTAGGTGAATTCAGATTATGGTATCTCTCTGAGAAAAAACACTGGATCCAATAGAACCATGTTTTGCTGAAATTCTTATCTCTGTAGGGAGGAAGCAATAACATTTACTGATCTTATCCACTGCTTGCACAGTGAGAGGGTCTGGGGATCTCCACAGCACTGGGATGCACACCCTGGCCACATTGGTGCCTTACCAATGACTTTTTGTAGTGTTTTTTGAACAAAGAGCTGCTGAGCTCTGATGTAAGTAGAGATCCATAAGGTCTTGGATCAAGGTACACATGTCACGCTAGAAAGGCTGGATTTGTGGGCATGACTAGAAGATATTGAACAACGTGCCTCTGGCCGGGTCG